TGTGGCGGGCACCTATAGTCCCAACTACTCGGGAGGCTGAGGCAAGAGAATCGCCTAAGCCAAGGAGCTGGAGGTTGCTGTGAGCTGTGACACCATGGCACTCCACTGTCTCAAAAAAAAAAAAAATTAACCTTGGTAAAATAGTAAAGTTAGGCGGTCCCTGGTAAAGGTACCCATTTTCTTGTTTTTAACCAAATTGCCCATTCAGTATCCCTATGCCTAAACTCCTTCACTTACCCATGTCACAAAACAGGATCTTATAAAGTTATTAAGGTTAAATTTGTTACTATTTCACGGTGTTTTCACTGAGTAGATAACTTAGGTTAAAAAAAATGATTCTGTGTTTGTCTAATATCAGAGTAGTAAAACAGGCTTGGAGGTAAGACTTTTTCTCTCTTGTAGCCCTTAAACCATATTCTATGCCTAACTATCCACTCAGACAGCTGTTAAAGAGAGGCTCTGCCTTGTGAGCCCCCTGTCAAGGTTCCAAATGGGGTGGGAAGTTTACTGGGGGATGGGGCACTTAGAGAACGAGCAGAACCAGTGACTTACACATATGATTAATCCTGAGTATGCAAAAGTTTAGGGCTTACCAGGTACCAAAAGAACCACCACCACATATAGAGAGTGCCAAAACATGTAGACACATTTTAAGAAAGGAAAAAGCTGTATTACAGTTGTAATACTCAAGTTACATTTGACTTTTGCAATTACAAGAGATGCAAGATACAATATACAAGGTAATAAATGCTATCAGCATATATTGGGTATTACAACTTTAATACAGTTTTTTCCTCTCTTAAAATGTATATACACTTTCTGGCACCCTCTGTGTATATATGTGTATATATATAATATATGCATATACATATATAACACATATACATGCATGTGTTTGTATATTTTGTTTATGTATTTTTTATTTTATGTATATAATGTGTGTGGGTGTGTGTATAGGGTGGCCATAAAGTTCATCTGCAATTTAAAATAGCTTAATATAGTAAATTGCACATAAACTTTATAGATACCCTGTGTGTGTGTGTGTGTATGTTTTTATGTGTGTGTAAAATGTTGACATCAGTAAATCAATGCATTGCAATGGTCTTTCAGAGCTAAGCTTCCTCATCTGCACAATGGTTTTGATCAGGCACATGTTTGGAGAGTCCCATCCTTCTCTCATCCCCACAAACCCCCTCCCAGCCCTCTGCACCCCAGCTATCTCCTAGTGTGAATGGTTGACTCGGCATAAGCAATACTCCATACATCACTATGTAATAGTTTGAATTGTGCCTCCAGAAAGGTAAGTCCAAGTTTTAATCTTGGTACCTTCAAATATAACCTTACTTAGAAATAGTCTTTGTAGATATAATCAAGTTAAAATAAGGCCACAATAGATTAGGGTGAACCCTAAATCCAATGACTGATGTACATTAAAAAGAGAGAGATTTGGAGATATACAGACATACAGAGAGGGAAGTGGGAGGCAGAAATTGGAGTGATACAACCACAAGCCAAGGAATGGCAAGGATTGCCAGCAAGCACAGGAGCTAGAAAGTGGCAAGTGAGTGTTCTTTAGAGCCTGTGGGGGGGAGGATGGCCCTGCTGACACCTTGATTTGGGATTGGGCTCCAGAATTGTGAGAGAATAAATTTCTGTTGTTTTAAACAATCGACTGAGAGACTAATATACGCACATACTCAGACTGTCACTTGGACCATACCTTTTGAAAGGAAAACAAACACACACCCTGGTTATGCTGACAGATGTGTATGGAAATGCGTGGATAAGAGCACGCATGACCACATATTTCCTTTGTGACTTCTTCCACGTGCTAATTTAAAAATTCTTCTAGGAAGTAGGGAAACTAAATTTTATTCTGACGGATGGAGCCTCTACCACAGCATCCATGCCAGAATTAGCAAGAACTGAAACAAAGAGAAGGCTCGTGGCCCTCCCTCCAATGTTGTGTTCTTAGCCTTTACAGAATAAACTATGAGTGGAAATAATGTTGTTTTAATTGCCTCTAAAACTATTAACAAACACATTGACCATCATGCCACTCATTTGTTCCATGGTAAGGGGGAGAAACAGCTTTTACAATTTAGCGCTGGGAAAGTATTTTCATCTCTTTTTTAAAAATGGCATGTTTCATTCTATCAGATAATCAGAGTTTTTCACCCTGTCTGCTACAATAGCTTCTTAACTGGTCTCCCTGTTTCCATTCTTAACCTCCTACAGTCCATTCTTCCACAGTGGACAGAATGATCCTTTTATATGTAAATCAGATCGCATCAATGCCCTGAACAAAACTGATCTAGGGATTCTTATCACACTCAGAATAAAATGAAAAGCTCTCCAGGGCCTACCAGGTCTATGCTCTGCCCAGTCTATTACAGTTGCTTCATGACCCCCTGCTGTCTCTTCTCTCTAGTGCCACTCTTGCCACGATGGTCTCCCTAGTGCTAGTCCTACCCCTCCAAGGGCCTCTATGCTCATGGTTTCTGCTGCCTGGAATTCTCTCACCTCTATCTTCCCATGGCCTGTGCTATTGCTTCATTCAGCTCTCCACCCACATCACTTCCTCAGAGAGCCCTCACCACACCACCCCATCTAACATAACAACCCTGTGATTCACTATTCCCTTACTCTGCTTCTATTTTTTCACATGGTATTTATTCACCTCCTGCAATTATATTATATATTTGTTTATTCTTTCATTGTCTGTGTTCCCCTATTAGGATGCAAGTCCTATAAGAGTAGAAATTTTTATCAGATTTGCTCTCTGCTCTATCTCCAGTGCCTAGAATAGAGTCCCTCGTAGAATAGGTACTCAATAAATAATTTTCTGGATCACAAAATAAACGAATGAATTTTACAAATTGCTTTGTTATATTTTTTGGTCTGGTTAATAAGAAGCTTGGTATTCTATTTAATGGTGAGTCATAGTAACCTTAGGCTTCACTGTGAGCATGTATGTGTCTTCCTTTTTAAATATTCTGATACTCTATTCCTATTTGAATACTATCATACAGCCCCTTTATTATAATATACTTTTAAATATTTTAGAATGTGACAGAAAGGGAGGCAACCCATACTAAGTGGGAAAAGGTGTGTTTTTTAACAATTTACTGCTATAAATGTTGTTATACATGACAGATCTAAGTGAAATAAAAGACAACTCTCAAGCTGGAAGCCTAAATCTATGGCTTCAGATTAAATTCCGGGGACCTAGAAAGAGCCAGATGGGAGTAAGCCGTGTGAAGGGAGGAAGATCCAGTGAAGGAAAGCACATTTTACCTTTTCATTCCTGCAGTTGTTCAGCCCCATATTATTCATGGAGGACAGTTTCCCATCAACACCATGTGGCTGTTGCTGCTGTTGCTCCCGCTGGATCTGTTCTCGCATCTTCCGAGCCTCCTGAATGGCTTTCATCACCGTATCCTGATCCCCAAACAGGGCAGGGGAGTTGAGACTGGACAGGATATCTGTATACACAGGAGGCATTATTAGAGGCTTGCATTATCAGACTATTAAAAAGCACTGCTGCTATCTACTTCCCTGCAGAAAACTGCATTTTCTGAACTACTAAGGGGCACATCTGCTATTTTAAAAACTGTATAATACCATTGTTAGCTTTTTTCAGCCACTAGAGGAAACCCCAGCACTCCAGTCTATCTGGGTTCTGTCTACTCACCCCCTCACAAATGTTGACTCCTAGATTTCTATTGTGTATACTGTTGGGGGAAGATATCTGTTCTTCCTCTATCTACAATTGGCATACAATCTTGCCTCTTTGGTGGGGAAAGTGTGGGAAGGAAAGGGCTGGAGGGTGGGAAGGAAGCAGAGAGGTTTGTCCAGACTACCTGTCATATTTGCTGTGCTAATGCAGGAAAACTGTTTCTGGCTAGCAGAAAAAAATCTGTAAGGCTATGTATGCACTTCAGTGACATCTGCATCTGTGTGTTCATGTGTCCACGGCAGGAGAGAGGGGGCGGAAGGAATATACCGTACTCTCCACTCCCGAGTGCTGGCTGGTTAATGAGGCATTCTTCTCATCATGCTGCCTCAGTTATTTACCAAGAGAATGACAACCCATTTCCCACCCCCAACTCGAACACCCACTGCTCTCCGCTCCCTGTCTTCACGACAGCGGGACTACATTGTCGGAATGCTTTTCATACAAGTACAAAGCTCCAAATACAGTGAGAATAAATATTTACTTCCAGTGCATTTTGTCCAATACAGAGAGGAAAAAAATTCAAAATTAAACTAATTTCATTTCACTGTAGGTAAAATTGCATATTTGAATAAGTTTTTTCCAATTTTAGACAAAAGGAAGGTAATTGTTTGATGATTGATAGGTTTTAGCTGCTGTGGTAAATTTTAATGTGATGCACTTGTTTGAGGTCTGGTATGAGCATTTCGCAGTGTGTGTGTGTGTGTGTGTGTGTGTGTGTGTTCATCTCACACAGACAGGACAGAGGAAACCAGATAACAATCAAGCTTACAATACATGTCTTGTGTGTGCAATGTATGACCATATGCATTTGGGTTTGGAAAAAATTCCAAAGGCTCTATCTGTGAAATTTTGTTGGTTAAGTCAGTCAATTTTTAGGACATGGAAAACCTACAGCTTTTGTTCTAGAGATTTTCTGATGAAAAAAGAACATTTATACACAATATTGTCTGTACACGAGCGCTGTTCAAGAGAGGTGCTAGTCTTCAGTCCATTTCTAATTCATGATCTAGGAATCTGCCGTGTAAAAGTAAAAGTTTCCTGAGAGCAGGCTTGTGACAGAGTCACCCTTGTCCCTCATGGTGCTCAGTACAGCAGACAGATGCTTTCTAAACAAAATTCACAAGTGGATTATAGGCGGGTCATTTCAAGACCAACTCTACAACTTATCTGTATGTTGTTCTTTTTTCCTCACTTTACAACTTCCAGAAGTCCAGCCAAGTGATATTCCTCATATTTACATGCTAGACATGACCCACTTTTATCTCCTACATGGATACCACTGACTTGGGATGCAACTTCTGGATCCCAGAAAAAGGCATCCTGATTCAAAATGAGAATAGTCTGGAAGAGATCCTAACATTCTAATTTTCAATGAGGAAGATTTACATCTCACTATCAGAAGATTACTTAGACTTGGCTCAATTCAGCAAAAATTCCAACTATGAGTTTACAAAAAGAATAGTGGATTATGCTTGAGAGAACCTAGATTCTAGACCCGGTTCTGTTAATTAACAGACACAGCCATGTGACAAAGTCATTCTACCTCTAGGAACCACAGTTTGTCTGTACAGTGAGGGCAATACTGATAGACTACTCAATGCAAAAGATTACTGTGAAAAGTCAAATGGGATAAGATAGGGAAGAATGTTTTTTAAACTGTAAATGGCTATACTTTTATACATTTTTTTAAATCTATGGAGTGAGCATTTCAGACTCTAGGACTCAATAGTGCAACGAGTGTAATTTGATGAAGAAATGCTAGATTTTGTTCCTAGCCCCTTTGAATCTCTGTGTCCTCATCTGGAAATACACAGACTTAAAGAGGATGGTAACACTAATGTGAGTACTTGTTTGGTACCATCTTGCTAAAAAGTGCTTTCACATTTATTGTTTCACTCGACATACATATAAATGCAATGGTATTCATTCATTCCAGCCTTTTAAATTTGAATGCTTTCTAAGTGTGAGACGCTGTGCTAGAAACTTTATACACATTTTATTCTTTTAATCCTCGTAACAACCTATGAGCTAGGTAACACTGTCCTTTCAGAAATCAGGAAATTGAATTTTGAAAAATATTAGATAACTTTCCCTGGGTAACGTAACTATTAAGTGAAGGCTCTCAATCCAAGCCTGTCTCATTCCAAAACCCTTATGTTTTCTTCCATACTCTTCACATGGGCATTTGAATTTTCCTAGGGATATTTGGAAATATATGGGGGGGGGGATGCAGAAAGCCAGAGGACCATTGTGATATATCTTCCTAGATATAAATTTTATTTCATACATGTTATTTAAGTATGTCATTCATATTTGTTTAAATGCAAAATATGAGATAAGATGTAAAAATCACACACATTTTTAAAAGAAGATATGAAATTTCAAAGAAATTTTAGCCTTCTGAAAGGCAGCTTAGAGACCAGGTGCTTAGGTCCTTGGAAAATTACTTCAGTGGTGAAACACTGACCACATCATACAGAAATTCCTAAATCTATGATTGCTAGGTCTAACTAATTATCATCTAAAGAACCCATCTCAGCAGGATTCCAAAAGTTCTCATCACCCAAGATATTAAGCTGGGTTATGTTTCAGTAGAAAAGGTAAGAGTATCATCTTTTACTGAGGAACACTTTGGAAATAAGGATCAGTCATCACCAAACAGGTTTGCTTTCTTTTACCTAATTCATAAATCTCTTCTTGGTGCTGACTTTTCCATTTACCTAAAGAGGATCCTCTTCCCAGGCTTCCTCCAATGGGGCTAGGGATGCTGCTTTTGTTTGGCAGATTGACGGGGCTGGTTTTGCTGGCTGGGAAGAGGCTCTGGGTAGGAGATGTTGGGGACTTTACAGGCTCTGCTGTCTTGGGTCGGGATGAGAGATTCAGAGGCTGTGCTGCTGCTTCATCCTACAAGAGTTTAACATAAATAATTATTTTTTAAAAAGACAAATGAAGCACATTATCACTTAGTAAGCCACAGTTATTTTGCACCTCAGAGACAATGCCACATTCTCTTACAATAATAACAAAAGAAGCTAATTATCTACCTCCTCGAAGATTCATCTGAAGGAAACCTCATTAATTTCCCTGTGTTATGCTTCTATTTACATTAACTATGTAGTTGGATCATTCTTTTTGCCAAATTAAAATCTGAATTAGCTCACATTACAGCTTAATTTCCTAATGTGTTTTCAGGGATCTAAATTAACCTAGGGCATTTACAAAGAATTATTTAAAATTTCAGTAGCTCTGTAGTGCTTTTGTGTTATTCTCTTTCTGAAAAGTTCCTATAACTATAAATAGTCTCTGCAGCTAATTTTTTAATATATATTTTAAATCAAACAATTGCAAGTCTTTTAAAAATGGAAACATGGGAAGCCTTCTTCTGATCTCCTAGGCCCCTGCCCCGGGAGCCACATGCCACAGCCTGGCTTCTATGTGGCTTTCTGGGTGTGGGCCCTGTGCATGGTTGATATTCTTGTCTCTACCCATGTTTAAAATTAATTTTTACAAAGATCAAGCATACATTATAATTATATTTTACATACCATGCTATATGCAATTTATTTTTTATGTTTAGAGTGAGATCTTTTTATATTCTTTACTGCATATATTTAAAGAATGTCTATTTTAAGACACATGTCCTCTACTCTGAGCACAGTATTCAAATACCTGGCTTGTAACTCTAGTTTATCCAGAAGCTTGAAAGCTAAGCTCCTCGCCTTCATTTTGTCTCATTTATCCTCCCATAAAATAACCATAACAACACTTCCATCATTCTAGAAATTTAGTTGTAATATGAGCATATTCATTTAAATGTTTAGTTTTAAAAACTGCATTATTGTGTTCTAAAATAAAATTGTCAGCAAATGCTGACTCCCATTTTGTTTCTGAGACGGCACAGAGAGTTTGCTTTTAATGTCATTGTTTAAAACACATAACAGAGTTCAGTAACAGAACATTCTTCCCCTCAGGAAACATGTGACCTTCAATTTCTTTATCTGTAAAAAGAAGGCCTGATCCTAGATGACTGCTAAGGTCTTTTTCCAGTGCTAATATAATTGATTAAAGGGGGACAAAAAGAAATGCCAGAAAATACTACTTGGAAAGAAGGATTAGAAAGAAGACAACAAAAATAACAGACACAGAGAAGCAATTAAGCACCAAGCACTGTATTAAACATTTCACATATCTTAGCTCATTTGCCCATCAATAACTCTATGAGGCTGGGCAGCACTATTCTAAATTTACAAATGAGGAAATGATGAATTACAGAATGACAAAAATCACTTGTCCACGGCCATATGCATAGAGACAAAATAGGAATTCGAATTTATTGGACTCCAAATCTAAGGCTCCTTGTCTTCTAAACTACAGAGAAAGTAAGTCATTTGTTTGATAACATAGTGATGCCCTAGTTTTAATTTTTTTCCCTTATCTTGGTAGGAAATAGGCAATCTGTCCCATCTATGTTGCGATGTACTTTTATATATATTTAGATATAGGATAGGTTCTCAAGAAACAGTTATATCCATTATGATTGTCAAACTTACCTAATGTACTTAATTGCAATTCACTTCCCTTTGCTCTTAATTCAAAGGATATTTAGACTAGTTAGTTCCTTACTCATATCTAAATAACAGGGAATCATGTTACATGTTTAGTTAGTTTTCTCCATATTTTCTTAATTAGAGTTCACTGAGTTTCTCTATTATCTAAGTTTTGAATTTTCATCGAATGTGGAAACTTTTCAGATACTACTTCCTCAATTATAATTTTCTGTTTCTTCCTCCTCTTTCTAGGGATCCACTTGCATATATGAGGACATCTGATGTTGCCCCACAATACTGACCAGACTTTTTCCTGTGTGTTTCATTTGGACAGTTTTATTGTTAAGTCTTCAAGTTCACTAATTTTTTCCTCACGTGGAAGCTACTGCTAAACCCAGCCAGTGTATTTTTCATCTCAAGTACTTTATTTCTCATCTCTAGACATTTGATTTAGGTTCTCCACATCTTGCCTTATCATGTTCATATTTTCCTCTCCCTTCTTGGGCATATGAAGCTTCTGACTTCCATTTCAACTTTAAACATGGTTTAGGTTCTTACTTACTTTCATAATTCAGTGAGTGCCTTTCTACCAACAATGACACTGGGGATGAGCATTGCCTAACGACTCCCCACTAAGGGAATCCCTTTCTTCAGTGGCAGCGCTACTACGGGTCCTCACAGCCTGGCCCTCCCTGACATAAACTGTGTGCTACTGAGCCTGGGGACAGGGGAAGTAACAGGCAAGAGTGTCACAGACTCCCACTATTCTTACGTATAAGAAGCATTAATGTTTTCTCAAATGATACATAACTTTGGTCAATTTCCAGGATGTGGAAATGGTTATTTTTGTCTTTTTTCTTCTGTTTTACAGTTACTTTTAAAGGAGCATATTTGTTTACCTCTTTCGGTGCTAGTTAGAATTCTGTTATCATAGCTGTTTTTACTATCTTATCTACTAATTCTATCATGTGTGCCATTGGGGGCCTTTTTCCATTGATTGCTTTTTCTTCTCATTATTCATATTTTCTTGCTTCTTTACAAGCCCGGTAATTATTGCATGGACATTATACATTGTGAATTTTACTTTGTTGTGTATTAGAGTTTATATATTTCTTTACGTATTTCTTAGCTTTGTTCTGAGATTCAAAATGATTTGGTCCTTTTTAGGCTTACTTTTGAGATTTGTTAGGTAAATTCAGAATAGCCTTTAATCTAGGGACTCGACTACTGATGTGATATCCTTCTGGGGACTCTATTTAATACCTTACGTGTCAGGAGAGCTTTCCACGCTGGCTAATAGGAATGAAAACCATTCTGGGTCCTTTGTGAACTCTGCAACTGCTTTGCCTGCTACATGCTGGTGTTTTCCCTTGACCCTCTGCTAGTTTTATCACATGCATGCATTCGTCAATACTCAGAAAAATACTCAGGGGAGCCTTCTGCAGATCACTAGCACTCTCTCTGTGGGTAACTCTCTGCTTTCTAGTACCTATATCACAAATTCTATCTGCATCAGCATTTCTAAACTCCAATGTTTGTCTCTCTACTCAGGAAGCCTGCCAAGCATCCTGCCCAGTTGCCTGGAAACTCCCTCTAGACAGTGAGCTACAAAAGTGTAGGGTCTGCTTCACTTGTTTCTCTTCTCACAGGGATCACGATCCTGTATTCCTATAGTAAATGTCTAAAAACCATTGTTTTATATTTTTTTGTCCCGAGTTTTAGTTATTTAAGCTGAGAGAGTAAATCTGATTCCTGTTCCTCCATCATTACTGACAATGGAAATCCTGTAGGTGTTGTTTAGTTAGGCTCTCTCTCAGGATTCGATTAGATATTTCAGTCACAGTCACCAAAACCATTATACCACCTTCTTTACTACCACGATTAGCAGCAGCCGCAACATCACTACCACTGTGGAATACTCATTATTTACTAGAGGGTGTGGTATCTCATTTAAAAATTATCATAATATTATCTCCCATTTTATAGAGGAGAAAACTAAAGCTAAAAGAAATTAAGTTGCTTGCTCATGATAACACAGCTAATGAAAGTGGGAGAACTGGTGTTTGAACAGAAATATTCTGACTTCTGATGTTTACAGTTATAGTTGGCAAAAATTCTAGGAGGGGAAAGGTACATAAGACCATTTGTGTTTATTTTTTTCACTTCAGCAAAATGTTCCCTATGTCATGTCTAAATTTAAAAATAAGCGGTTATGTTATATAAAGAAGGAAAATAATGATAATAAAGAGAAGCACGAGAGATTTCAGTGGCCACTGTTCTTTCAATTAGCGAGCTCTAAGATCATTTTCAGTACTTCTTTAAGGATAGATAAGATCTATATTTTTAATTTAAAATATTTGCTTTATGTTTTGGTCTGTATGTTTTTATCAACATACACAATGAACAACCTAATAAGTTAAAGGAATGTTTCCTTTGTTATTAACATAAAATATGCTTAAGTAACTTACATATAAAACTTCCTAAAAATTTGCATATGGTCAAGTGAGTAATAAAATTCAGTTGGCCCACAAATACGGAATGGTAAAAGCAGATATAAACTCTAATTTAACCAAGGAACATTTTACTCATCCAGTAAAGACGTGGTTTGGTGCAGTTCCAGTTGGCCAACTTACTTATGAAATTACTTTTTATGTTATAATATTTAATACTCAATAGCTCAAGTCATTGTACACTCATACTCTAACAACTAGTATTAAGAAAAATGCCTTGATTTGAGTTGTAGTGTTCTGACTCTTCTTCACAAACACAAATTCTAGACACACAAAATTGTCTGTTCTCATAAATAATGTTCTGTCTTATGAAATGTCAGCTACCTATATCATATCTCAGTATTTCTAAAAACAAAACATAAATGTTAATCTATTTCTTTGGAGAATCTAAAAGAATGGGTGATAGTAAATTAATTCCTCTGGGTGGTACATGGGCAACTCTTTCTTAATGATACTCACTTTGGTGTTTGGGATCCATTTTTTAAAGGCCTTTATTAAAAATCTCAAAATGTTATGCAAATTTTAGAAAACAAAACAATTTTAGTGATTGTATGGCATCCAATGCTGAGTTTTGTTGGTCTTAGCTGTTTTCTATGTGATGACTTAATAACTGCAAAATTTCTACAAATGGAATACTTCTGTCACATCACAGTGAAAGTGTCATACTTAGCATATCCCACCAAGTAGGTAAGTCAATTATACAAAACAATCTTTCTCTGAACTGTTTGAATTTGGTAATTCAATATAGAAAGTAAATGCAACCACAAAAACCAACCAGTACCACCTATAGGCACCAGCTGCAGCACAAAATTGGAGCAGCTCACAATTCCCCCTGTCGCCAAGAAGTTCCTGGCTGCCCAGCGTTATGATACTGAACATTAGTGAGGAAAGGCTCTATTAATGTCCCAGCTATAACTTAGAGAAGCCCATTTATTCCACCACAACTATATGGCATCAAAAGCAGTAGTAGGCAATGAGAAATCACAGCCCACATTTATAATTAGTTTTGCAGGAGAGACCTTCACCAACAAAGCTATCAAGTCTAGCATTAGATTCTTTTTTTGGCCCCCTTTTAAATCTAAGGTTTCAAGATCTTCTTTTCTGATGCTATAAATTAGTTCCCTATCTGTTTAAGGATCATGAAGAGAAGTGTCACAGTCTATGATAAAATAAAATCATGGCCATTCATGCCAACAAACTTTAAAAACTAAAAGCCAGAAAAACTCTTAAGAAGTCAGTTTGCAGGCTCACAATATGGCACTATTGTTATCAAAAGGGAAACACCTGTTTCTCAAAGCTCAATCATGAAATTTGCCATAAAGAAGGATATTTTGGGGTTCCTTTATATTGCTGTGTTTCCTGTTGTTTATTCTCAATACAGTCTGGTTCACTACCTTTCTTGTGAAGCTATTTTCCAAACTGGTTCCACAATTCTGCAAAGCAAGTACCTTAACTTGAGTTACAGGGCTGGTCCCTCTCTTTTCATTTTTTATCCCAGTAGGTGAGACCGTCCCTGCTGTGTTTGGTGGCTGTGGAGTTGATGGCATCTTTGCTCCAGGTGACACCTGCATGCTGGCCAGCTGAGCGGCATAGAGCTGCTGCAAAACAGGGAAGACAAACATTGATCTCTTTAAATGCAGCTGGAATGGAGTTCCAAAAACAACCTTACTGTATTGTTAGATAACTATTTCTCTGACAGCCTTGAAATTTCTCTTTCACTGTTTTTTGAAAAGGAAAATTTAAAGAAAGTAAATAATTTAACAGAAAGAAAGAGGACTTGTATGCGAGCCTCAGTTCTGTACCTGGTCTTTCTGACCCAAGACACGAGCTCTCTGGAACTCAGATTCTTCCACTGTACAAAAAGGAATTTGACTAAGTAGTGTCTAAGATACTTTCTAGTGCCTAAAATCTTTACAAAAAGTTCTTTGAATGTCTGGAATGTCCACTCATGTAACTTTAATTTTCATGAACTAAAAAGCTAACTTGAGTTTTCCTAGGGATTCTAGAAAGAATTTCATCCCTCTTCTTCAGCACTAACCAAGCTTTTCTTTATAGTTTGATCCTCTTGGTTAAGTGCTACCCCCAAGATCCCTGTGGTCTAGTGGGAGTGACTCTTTTATCAAGGTCTTATTTCTAGGTAGCATATAACATGATCCTCAAGTATTTCAAATTGTATGTAGAAATAGCACTTTGTACCCCATGATAGTATTAATGCACATGATTTAATAAAAAAAAAAATCGGTAACAATTTTTTTTAATCACCAAGCTCTCTTTTTATCCCCGCACAGAAACTGCCCACTTGAGTTTCAACCCAAACCAGGTAACAAGTGCTTCCTACATGCACCTGAACGAATAACTTACTTTCTCTCCTTAGGTCCTGTCTTTGCCTAGGACTCCAGGTGCATCCTCATTATATTCCTATTGCTGTTTCATGACCTCTTCCGAAGTATTTAAGTATTTCCAATAGTTCTCTTTGGAAAACTAATGATCTTGCTCATTCTGTCTGCTCAGCTCAAAAGGGTTCCCCTTCGCTGAGACATGATAAGCAGACAACCCAACATTATCAATCTCAAAATCGTCAACTTCCAAAGACATTAATTTATCTGAATGATAGACAGGAGGGCTAAACTCTCTTTATATAATTTTAATCTTTAACAAAGTAATTATTATATATGGTCTTACAAGTCTCATTGTATTAATACTAATACCTTAAGGCTTAAAAAGAAAGAACAGGCTGGGAGCAGTGACTCACGCCTGTCATCCTAAGCACTCTGGAAGACCAAGATGGGAGGGCTGCTTGAGCTTAAGAGTTTGAGAACAGCTTGAGCAAGAGCAAGACCTTGTCTCTACTAAAAATAGAAGAATTATCTTGGCATTGTGACATTGTGGCCTGTAGCCTGTAGTCTCAGTTACTCAGGAGGCTGAGGCAGGATGAGCCCAGAAGTTTGAGAATGCAATGAGCTATGATGACGAAACTACACTATACCCAAGGTTAAAAAGCTTCAGAGGGAGACTGTCACAAAACAACAACAGCAAAAAACAAAACAACAAGAACAACATAACCAGCATGGTCATCATGTACAGTGCACAGCCTTCTCAGCCATGCATGATGCCCTTGGCCTACTCCCCCCAGAGCTCCTTTTCACACTTCTTGCTCTGTGTGGACCATCTCCTTCAATTCATTTAACTCTTCGTTGGATATTTATCTCTTTACTTGTAAGTGCTTATCCTTTTATATCCTTATTTATAGATTTCATATAATGGAATATGAAAGTTTAGCTTTCCTACCTCGCCAAGCCCCATGAGTGTACCCATCCCTCATCTTTTAGTGTTAGTATCACAAACTTTAAAATCGGTGTTTACTGTTTTATATTATTCTATGATGATGCTATTTACAGTTGAGATATGTATTTAACTATACTTAATTTTCTCTTTTTCAACTTTTTATTTTGTTAGGTTTAATATTTGCCTCATATGTTCTTTAATGTAACTATCGCCAATTCCCAGACTTTCCAAGAGACGAGTAAAACTCTATATAGTTGAATGTATCAGGTAATCTGCGTATCACATCCTTCTTGGAATTCTCTATCTCCCCATTCCAATCTGAACGAGTTTACTCATTAGGCCTACTGTAGACGTATGGCAGTTGGGATTTCTTTTGCTTCTCCTATATTGGATTCTGTTTTCTTAATGTCATCTTTTCCCCTCTTTATTCGCCATTTCTTTTTGGTAAAGGAAACTCACGGAGTTTCCTAACAAAAATCCATGTGAGCTTATTATTTAGGAACTAACATTTCTGGAAAATACTATTATTTTCCTCTCACTTGGTTGTAGTTTATGGAATTATAAGTATAAAATTATAAGCTGAAAACAATTCTGCCTCGGAATTCCAAAGGTTCATTTTCTCCACAGAATAAACCTCTAGAGCAGGCATCCTCAAACTATGGCCCACGGGCCACATGCGGCCCACCTAGGACATTTATCCGGCCCACTGGGTGTTTTTGCCACTGCTGCCTGTCCTGCTTAGCAGCGGACTCGTCCCAGGGCCCGCAGTCTAGCCCTCCAATGGTCTGAGGGACAGTGAACTGGCCCCCTGTTTAAAAAGTTTGAGGACCCCTGCTCTAGAGCCTTGTACCAGGTTGTGTTGTCTCCTTATTCTGATTTGGAAGCCTGCTTCTGATTCCTGATCCTTTGTATATAACCTATTTTCTCCTCTGAAAGCATTAGGATTTTCCCTTATACTAAATGTACTGAAATCTCACCATGATGAGATTTGACATTCATATTCATTGTTACTGGTACTCAGTTAGCCCTTTCAATCTGTAAACGCACATCCTTCAATTATAGGAAAATTTTTTGATGTTTTTCATTGATAATTTTTTATTGTTCTCTTTCTTGAACTCAAATAAACACTAGACTTCCTTATTAATCCTCTGTTTTTCTTCCATTTCCTACTCTCTGACCTTTTATTATACTCTGTGACAGATTTTTTTCAACTTTATCTTTTGTTGTTTTTTTTTTTCTGTTTGTTTGTTTTTGAATCAGAATCTCACTCTGTCACCCTGGGATAGAGTGCTGTGGTATCATAGCTCACAGAAACCTCAAACTCTTGAGCTGCAGCAACCTATTTGCTTCAGCCTCCAGAGTAGCTAGGACTACAGGTGGCTATCATTATGTCTGGCTAGTTTTGTTTGTTTGTTTGTTTGTTTGTTTTTCTATTTTTAGTAGAGACAGGGTCTTGCTCTTTCTCAAGCTGGTCTCAAACTCCTAAGATCAAGCAATCAGCCTTCCTTGGCCTCCCAGGATGCCAGAATGAAAGGCCTGTGCCACCTTGCCTGGCCTTCAACTTTACCTTTCAATGCTTCTGTGAATTTTTTTCTCATTTTCTGCTATTACTGTTTTAAGGGTATTCTTGTTCTTTGCTTCCTTTTCTGTTTGATCATACTAATTACAGGTTGGAGGATTGTTTCAAATGTTGTCTATACTCTATCTTATTGACTCTCATTTTTTCCCAAACTCTTTGAGTTTTTTAATATTAGAACCTTTCCTTCCTTCCTTCCTTCCTTCTTTTCTTTCTCTTTTTTTTTTTTTTGTTTTTGAGACAAGGTCTCATTTTGTGGCCCTCAGTAGAGTGCGTGGCATCATAGCTTACAGCAACCTCAAATTCTTGGGCTCAAGTAATTCTCTTAGTCTTCCAAGTAGTTGAGACTACAGGCGCTTGTCACAACACTCGGCTATTTTTTTAGAGACAGAGTCTCACACTTGCTCAGACTAATCTCAAAACCTGTGAGCTCAGGCAATCCATCCACCTTGGTTTCCACAGGCATGAGCCAATATTAGAAGCTTTTCTAAATTGTCTATTGTTCATTGACTGTTTATTCATATATAAGAGCAATATACTCAAAAGCTGACAGGAAGGTTTAAGTCTGGGGACAGACTTACTGAGTGATGGTGGGCTTTAGCATAAAATAATGTAGAAAGTCAGCTTTTTCATTGGGGAATTCCAAATGTCAGTGTCTATATGTACTTTCTCTTACAGGTCATTTTCTTAGAGAAAGGTCTTAAAATTCCTGCTATGGGTAAGAAATAGACTTGCATGCCATTGTTAGGTAAGCTAAGTAAGAGAAAGCAGCTGAGAGATCTCACTGTCTGGTCTATCATGCAGACTTCCTGCTTTCAAAATGGCACCATGAGTCATTCTCACTGTGACATCCCCAAGATAAATACTTCTCAGGTTCAACTTCTCAAGAGAATAAACAAATCTCCAGAGTCTTTCGCCAGGTTATATTCTTGTTGGAGGGAGAACAGGAGGCAGGGATGGTAGTTACCAGATTGCATGAGGATAGGGAGGGCACACCTTATATTTATTTTCCACCAATCATCCTAACTATATAGGTCTACCTCTTACAACCCTGCCTTCAATGATATACAACGCCTTCAATTCCTAACCTTTTCAAAGGTTCAGCTTCCAATTGGGCTTGATTCTTTTGGGTTTTACCCTCTTAAAACTTAGGTATCAGCTTTTTCTTTTCTGCTAATACAGTCCTAGCTCATCTATTCATTTCTCATATTCCAATTTTTTTTCATCTCTTTCTATTTTTACTTGAAGGCTTACACCTAAAATCCTTAACTGTTTATTTTATTAGGATTTTGATAAAACTCTAAGAAATAAAATATTAATCAGCTATGGTTAACCACAAATCAGATACCCCATTCTTAACACCATTTAATGCTTGGAAACTTAATTCAAATATTTTCTTTTCTTCTTATAATCAAGATTAAACGATTACCTTGGTGGCCACATTTCTATCATAATAAATGGGAAGCTTCCTAGTTCATCAGCCACAGAGAAAATAGCTCAAACTTTGCCATATTAGTAGGGGAGAAAAAACAGGTGGTTTATATGTAATTTACAGCATTACTATCATTCATATGGACAAATAAAAAAAATTACAGTAATCAAAAACAGACCTTTCAGCACATGTAATTAAATGAAAGCTTAATAAAGAATAATTTGCAAGAGCCAGATGTGCTTATGTCATGATTGTTGCTTTCTTTGGAACAATTTTTCTAATATAACAAGCCTCTAAAGAAATTA